TTGAATTGCAATATGGCTCCACTGCTGAAATAACTGATGAGGTCAAAATGCTGCATTTTGCTCTGTATTTATTTCACTACGAGGGCATCTGAGCCACATGCAGCCAAATATTTATAACATTATGCTTTTGGGGTTGTTTCTGAATTTTAAATTGATCACATTTTACACACAAAGGCAGATAAAGTTGATAAAACCGAGTATTTGCTGACTGAGACTGCTGTCTTCGTGACAAAAAAAATATCAAACACATGGAAATTGAGTATTTAAATGTGAACTGTAGTCCCCTACTGTATATGCATATTTATTGCCAGTATACACTGAATGACTCAGACTAATTTTAAACTAATTACTTCCCTAATTCCCCTAAACTTGGCAACATCCCTGAACTCAGCATATTTTTTTCATCACGCAGGGAGTCGACTCATTAATTGCAGGACGGGGAATGTGCTTTGCTGCTTTGTAGTCATCACAAATTGATGTAGAAGGTGCAGCTGTAAACAAGAGGGTTGCCTGTAAAACTAATACTTCTACTTGAACCGCTCTTGCTTCTGGCTTTTAAGCTTGTTTTTTTTTTTTTTTCTCAGTGATCTTCTGAATTGTTGGCTGAGAGGAATTGTTTTAACACCCAAAAATGCACATGAAACCAATGCAGAAACGTTTTGTTGTATCAGTCAGCTACGTACAAATCTGAGCTCTTAGATGCTGATGGAGAGCTCGACCAAGACATCAGGATTCGACTTCTTCAATGGCTTCCACGGTCGAAGAAAGACAAGCGATCCCTTCCAAATGATTTCACATGTTAATTGGTACGATTATGCTACTTGTTAAAGTCATGCCAGGAGATCTATTTTTACTTTACATCTATCAAACAGAGCCCGAGTCATTACCATAGGAACAAGAAGAACGTGCTCAGTATCTGCAGTTAAGCCCAAAAATATTCATACCCACGCCAATTTGATCTTATAGTGAAGTTGTTTTTGACCGATCGGTTTCTTCTGGCTGCAAATGGCATAAATAAAAGATATAGTTGGACATTGTGTTGGAGATCTTTTTTTTTTTTTACTAAAAATGCCATGTAATTATGAAAGTGTCAGAACTCTCTACGACAATGCAGCTTCTATATCATTTGAAATGGTTCTGGTAGTTTTGTACCATGTTCTGTGCTTTCTAATGTGCTATATATTGAGAGCAGCTGACACAGTGGTCCTCTAGTCAGTAACTAGAAATGTTCAAGTCATGTCTAACACAAAATCGCTTCTATTAGAGTCAATCAGTGAAGGACAGCCGCTGCTCACAAGATGGGAAAATGCGATAAAATAATATCCAAGTGTCTTTAAGCACAAGTGCAAGGAGTTCAAAACCGGGAAAAATCTCAAACTGGTGGTGGGAAAGCCAAACGTGACCTCTGCAATGGCAAGAAAGGTAGTTCAAGAGGCCAAGAAGAATTCAAGGTTCACCACAAGCCCATTATGATTAATCTGAGCAGTTCTGGTACCAACATCTTAAGCAGACATTAAAGCAGACACTGCACAAGGTGTTCAGGGCGGTTTTCCAAGACAGGTACACAAAAACATGCCTAGCATTTTCAAAAACTCACCGAGACCCAAAAAAAAGGAAGCTCTATCCTTGGATAGGATTAAAATTAAACTGTGTGGACATAGGGATGCAGCTTTGTTTTGGCGTAAGAAAGAAGAAGCATTCAACCTCAAGAACACCAACCCCATGGCCAAGCATGCTGAAGGGATTGAAATGCTTTTACCCAATGGGCCAAGTTACTTTGCCAAAGCAAAACCACATGAAGAGAAAGGAAGACTACATTCTGGAGGAAAACATCAGGAAATCTGCAGAAAAACCTGGCCTTGAGCATCATTGGAGCTTTCAATAAGAAGAAACAACATCTGAGGAGTCCAGCCAGAGTCCAGATCTAAATCCTGTTGAGAAGCTGTGGAAGAAACTCAAGACCTAGTTGATTGCAAGGAGGAATTCCAGCCTCAAAGATCTGAAAATCCCAGTGGAGACATGCAAAAAGCTTATGAACACTGCTAAGAACATTTTGATTGTGGTGGTGGCAAATAAAGGCTTTGCTATTGACCAACATGAAAGGATAGGAACAGTTATGGACATGGCATTTTTAGCAAAAATCATAGAAATAAGTCAAATTTACCATTAACAACACAATGTCTTGTTGTCTTGTGTCACTTGTTTATGTCATTTCCAGCCAGATTAAATCTATTCACCAAATCCTTTGTCTGATCTCAATATAATGTGTCTCCCAAAAAATTAATCTCCACAGTGTGGATACATTAGCGACCTACTAATCCTACTGAGAACGAACACCTCATCTCTGTAGAACTTCTGCTCAGTCACTTGTAAAACTGAGCGCAGTCAAAAATGACCCTGTCTACCCAGCTGAAAACGGCTAAAAGCAAAGACAGTTGAGCATCTGGTGACAAAAAAGAAAAAACAGACGTGAATATCTTTATCAGGACACAGAGGACCAAATCACGTCTGAATATATTTGGACTGGCGCTTGACAGGTGGTGAGAAGGAACACTCCAATTTCCCCACACAGGTGAAAGTTTGCTTCTCTCATGCATTTTGACTTGCAAAATTGGCAGCTGTTTCATCTCAGGGTGAGACTTTCTTGGATTCGTAGATAATGCTGAACACTCCAGTAAGGAGGCAATTTGCTCATTATTTCTATGGATGTGATAGAAAACCATGTGGTTCACTGCGAGCTGAAAAGGAAAACACATTATCACACAGAGAAACACATTAAACAGAGCAGTACAAAGCTATGCAGCGGAAGATGAGGGTCCACGCAGGCAAACCGCGGCATTCGCCGAGTTTTGCAATCGAAATGAGCAACCCGAAACAATTTTCAAGCCATGATTGCAGAAAAAGAACACATATTTGAGACTCAATATTTGTGCAGTTGGAAATGAAAAACATTGAAATAGGGGTTATTATGCATTAGAAAGGCAATTCAGATGCTCTGATAGCCAACTTTAGCGACTATTTGTGATGGAACCAATATTGCAAAATGATTTTAATTCATGTATAAGATCAAAAACAGGAACAATAAACATATATAATTACATTTTTCTTGCTTTAACATGCATCAGAAGAGAGAACACGTTCTGGTGAAGAAGAATACAATTAATTTCCATTCATATGTTCATGTATAATGCTATCAATTAAGGAATCTCCTGCTTTATCTTCAACTCTTACATAGCTAAACATTTCCAAGGCAAAAGGACGGCACTGGGGGATGATTACATTTTTAAAAACTATAATGTCACTTATCTGTCTGCAGTAAAAACCAAACTTCAGTTGATCCTTCATCAGCATACGCTAGGTAGTCTTGCATATTCAGCTACATTGACTTTCTGCTGTATTATGCAGTGATAATGAGATATTAGGCCATATCTCATTAAGATAAAGGGAGAAAAATGTCTCTTGGGGTCAGAGGGTAATCCCTGGTTATTGTGTCCTGGCCACAGTGCCAGGCAATTAAGCACAAGAAAATGAGGACCTATGGAGCACTGTGAGCTTATTAAAACCCTGAGTTTAGTCATAAGGGACAATATGGATAATATGGATCTTTTAACAGAAATAAAAGTACAAAATTTTGTGTGATTTTTTTTGTATTTATTTTTAGCTCCAGTGAAATGTTTGCAAGTTGTTTTTCCATCCTGAATGAAAAACCAGACGAAGAATCTTAAGAAAGTATAAAACTGTGTAATCTCCAGCCTTCGGGTATATATAATGATTGCATGGAGAGGAAAAAACAGAAACTAACTTTGCAGTGAAGCCAATTCCCTCACACATACACATACGAAACAAACGACCCAACCTCGTGCCACGACTGAACAACCAACCTGACGCTCGCCAGCAGCCGTCCTCAACAACCGACCAATTATGATGTATTATGAGCGGTTCTTGGCTATCAGAGAAGCCAGCAGATCTGCCCTGTCTCGATGAGTCGCAACATTTCCAGGCACACACGGGCTATTGATTAGAGCGGCTCAACTCGCAGCCTGCAGTCTATCAGCGCTCGGGGACCGGTAATCAATTCTCTAATGCCATTTGAGCCTATTCACTGCAGCTATGATCCACTCGTCACTGAGCAGATACCCACCGACATGTGTGGACACGGCCCCGACCAGGCGCACATCACATATAACCCAGATGGCCACCGTAAAAGCAGGGGACAACTCCTAAATATTAACTTACCAAGTGTAGCAGTGATAGGGCACTGTCATCTAATGGCATTATCAAAATGAGTGCAGCTCTCCTGAGGCAGACTCTGGTTCCTGATTACCTAGCAGTGGTGCACCCTGTCCGTGGCCAAATCTGATCAGCATAGCACCAGACGTAGGGACGGCCAGTCAGGAACTCGGCCCGAAGGCCCCTTATCTCTACCGACAGGCCATTGGTTCTTTATGGGCAATGATGTCCTCCTAGGAATTAATCTGATTGGGGTCTGGTGGATGATTATGTTGTAGTAAAACTGCTGAAAGGAAAGGTGGGGTCCAAACTTCCTTTCTAAACTACTCGGATCAGATGGAATTACGTCGTGAGACCTCGTTCAGAGCAGGCAGAGGCCGCGACGGAGGCTCTGAATGTTTGCTTGAGGCGGACCATCTGCTGAAATTGACTAGATTATGAATATTGTCCCAAAGACACTTTATAGTAAAAGATAACTTTGACACCGAAACACTAAAACCATCCTGCCTCAGTTCGAGTTTGGATTATTCCATCTCAAATCATCATCAGCTTCCTGCTCGACCAGCTCTGATCTGCTTAAAACTTTTTTTAATCATAGTATCGATGAAATTTTAGCTCGATAAATCAACTATTATTGTTTTCTCCTCACAGTTTGCCAATGATATCAACATCCAATCCCCTCTTCCAAATACCAGAAATACAGAGACGCTTTCTTTCACCAGTAAACACACAAAGCTCCATAAAACAGTCCACAAGTGTGCAGCACTTACTTTGGTGTCTGCGTGTCCTCCAAGCGGTTCCCCAGCTGGAACTCGTGGGATTTGCTGCGGTGCAGTGCGGTGAAGCCCGGCAGCAGGTGGATGAGCTTGCGGCTCGGCGGAGGCGGCGTTCCCGGGGCCTTCACTTTGTTTCTTCGCCTCATGGGGGGAGTGCCGGGCGGGGTCATGGTGTTGACCACCAAGGGAGTCCGAGGAGGCGTGTGGCCAAAATGCCTCTGGCGGGGTGACGGGGGCAGGGAGCGGTGACCAGAGTCTAGGGGAGGGAAGAGGCCGGTGGAGGGGCTGTCGACGGTGAGCCGATCGGCGTACAAAGGGGGAGCCAGGGCCTGGGGGCTGTGGCACATGTGCTGGTTGTACTTGGACTGGACTTTGGGGCTTTGGGAGAGCTGGAAACGAATCCACTGACTGGCCTCTGGCTGGCACACCGGAGTGTTTTCTTTTCCAGATTCAGAGGTGGGCCACTGGATGGACCAGTCCTGTTTCGCCTGGCTCCCTGTTGAAGAGCACAGAAGTGGAGACAGCAGAACACCTGGTTGTAACATACAGTACAAAATGAATGCTTTAGGGGCTCAAACAAACTACAAATCAGCATACTGTCTTTGGTATCCGTGGTGGTATCCAGCCATGCAAGTGCTTTCAGTTTAATTTGCCCAGGTCTCTACCTCCACCTGTTACGCCGTGTAAATAAATGGAATTTAATGGTTCTCACAGCTTTTAAAAATGACCTTTAAAAAAGGAAAGAGCAACATCTCCAGAAACAATGTCATGGTGACTCTACAGACCTCTTAATGTTCGGTAGAACAGCTTTATAAAGGAGAGTAATTCGCTTTGAAAACTGTTGAAGCTGTGCTATTATGACAAAAAAAAATATCTGAATTTGAATTTAAAATATTTTGTCAGCACAGGAGAGCGCCTTTATTGTAGAAACCTACAACTAAAACTGCCTGCATGTCAGGATACCACCCAGGTGAAGCAAAAAAAAATAACATAAAATGCATGTCTTCATAATTTGGGTGAATATTTGTGCGTAATATGGTGTATCAAGTTTAACTAAATTAGTTCCTGCTGTGCATTTAATATTAAAACACCCATTAGCGTTATTTCTTGATTGCAGCAGTAAGTAATCCTGGAAGCAGGCAGACATTTACAGCAAGCTAATGTGTTCAATTTAGGTAATGAAGAATTAACTTTGCCGTTATCTGATGTGAACATATTAGTAGTGCGGTGGTGTTCAAATATGCTAATGTAGAGCAGATTAAGCATCGGTGGATGAAGCAGGAGAATGAGAGAAATGGACGAGCGCGCGAAAACACAACAGGGCAAAAAGCTGCATGAGTCATAACACAAGCCAACTTTTACTGGAACTAAACTTTCAGTCGAATGAGAAAGACGGAACAAAAAAGAAAAAGAAAAAAAAACTTGAAAGCGAGCAGCCGAAATGAGTGTTTTTGAGCTCGGATGACAATACTTTACCTCCGTTACTGTGCAATTTATCCTCCTCAAGTTGTTCTTCAGAAAGAAAGAAAAAAAAAAAAGAATGTGTTTATTGATCTGGAAGAGAAACAGCTGAAATGCTTGTCTTTCCATCTGCAGTTATGCATAGCCAAAAGGGCCGTGCAGCACAACAAAGCATAATGTCGGCAGAATTGATCCCGATTACACATAAGCAGATGCAGCGTCTCATGCATGGCCAAGCGTGGCCAATATTGACCTCGCCGTCTTCAAAAACTGCAATTGACCGCCGACCGCCACGATTAATGCAAATTCCTGTCGACGTCTTTCTTTTTTTTTTTGTTCTGTGTCATTATTTTTCTTCCCTTTGACATTGTCTCCAAGGAGCTACGGGCATCAAAAAACACAAACTTCAAACACAATATCAACACCAGCAAACATCAAATGAACCACGGGAAATATGTGCCATAAAAGGTCCCAGTTGAATAGAAAAACTTAGGGGGGGGGTTTAAAAAAAAAAAAAAAGCCAGCAGCCTTTTCTATTCTGTAATGTTGTGAAGAAAAAGGCCGCGAGGAACGACGAGTTGTGTGAAGAGACAGCTGCAAAAGACACAAGGGACACAATATATATCCAGGGTCTCGTTTTCTTTTTTTAAATACTTTTAGCTGTCTTGAGGAAGGAGGGGGTTCTTAAATTTCTTTTAAACAAAGTGAGTGTTGAGACTGCAGGTTTTCATATTCCTGGGGTCATGTTTAGTGCCTCTGAAAGAAAAAAACATTTTGTTTTGGCAGAAATCAGCATGTAGTTTACAAACTGCAACTGAGAAGTTTTAATAGTTGCTTATTCAAAAAGCAAATGAATGCAGTTCTGAGTAATTCACAGAAAACATTTGAAGTAAAGTTACACAGAACAAAGTTTTGTCACATGTTTGTGGTGCTTTTTAATCGCAAATTAGGAGGACTTTGGGATCAAGTCCAGCTCATTCCAGCACATAGACTGCATAGACGCTCAACTGTCTGACCCTCGAGAAATTCTGAACATTTTTTTGCTCCAATCACTGCGGGTTCATTTTTCACTGCATGTAAAGTCCTGCATCTCGATGGAAGTAGAAAGAACTCACAAATGTCTTATGTGCAGCAGCTATAGCACCATTGTGATGCCATAAACCATAACATCAACATGAATCAACATATTGTTCAAACTCCCACAGGTGTTAATTAAAAAAACAGCTGCTACACATAGTATAGATATTTCATTGTTTACATTTTTAATTTGTTTCTCTGCTTGCCTCATATTGGCTAATGACATGTCACTAATGTCTTGCTGCTACAGATCTGTTTTTTTTTTTTTTCTTTTCACACAATCTGGTTGCTGAAAATGGTTATTGTTTTTACATATTTAATGAGACATAGAATAAAGTAATTTCCATGAAATGTATATGCATGTCTCCTTCAGCC